GTCACCAAGGTAGAGTTCTGTAGAACTATGTAGTGTGCTTGAGACCAAGAATATCCGTCCCTGCATATTATTGAGTCTCTTCCAAGAGTGCCTTTTCCAGTCAGTCTCCCCTCATACCGCGATTTAGGGAGACCTATCTTCTTAAGGCCAGGAGTGAAGTCAACACAAAATCCGATAACATCCTCTGTTTGATGGCCCATGGAGATGCTTCCTTCTGGCCTAGCGCGGTTACAGACATATTTCTTTAGGACTCCCATGAACCTCTCAAAGGGGAACATATTGTGTAGAAATATGGGCCCCAGGATGATAATCTCGTCGACTAGATGAACTAGGACGTGTGTCATGATATTGAAGAAGGATGGTGGGAACACCAGCTCGAAACTGACAAGACATTGCACCACATCACTCCTTAGCCTTGGTACGATTTCTGGATCGATCACCTTCTGAGAGATTGCATTGAGGAATGCACATAGCTTCACAATGGCTAATTGGACGTTTTCCGGTAGAAGCCCCCTCAATGCAACCGTAAGCAGTTGCGTCATAATCACGTGGCAGTCATGAGACTTTAGGTTCTGAAACTTTTTCTCTGGCATATTTATTATTCCCTTTATATTCGACGAGAAGCCAGTCATGACCTTCATACTGAGCAGGCATTCAAAGAAGACTTCTTTCTCTTCTTTTGTAAGAGCGTAGCTGGCAGGACCTTTATACTGCTTCGGAGGCATGCCGTCTTTTTCATGCAAACATTGCAGGTCCTCCCGTGTCTCAGGTGTATCTTTTGTCTTCCCATACACGCCCAAGAAGTCTAGCAGGTTCACGCAAAGGTTCTTCGTCACGTGCATCACGTCGATTGAAGAGCGGACCTCTAGGTCTTTCCAGTAGGGTAGGTCCCAAAATATAGATTTCTTCTTCCACATGGGTGCGTGTCCCTCGGCGTCAGTCGGAACAGCTAGTCCACCGGGATCCTTTTCAAAGATTACGTAGTGTAAATCATTGACCATAGCAAGTACGTGATCACCGGTACGCATGGCGGGCTTCTTCCGGTGATCTGCCTCGCCTTTGAAATGCTTTCCTTTCTTTCGACATTGATGGTTGGTCGGAAGAAATCGACGATGGCCCAGGTACACATTCTTCCTGCATTTGTCCAGGTATATACTTTCAGTGTCATCTAAACAGTGCGTGCATGCGTGGTATCCTTTGTTTGTCTGTCTTGAAAGGTTACTGAGAGCGGGCCAATCGTTGATGGTCACGAACAGCAACGCCTTAAGGTTAAATTCCTCCTGTCTGTGCTCATCCCACGTACGTACACCGTTTCCATTCCATAGCAGTAAAAGTTCTTCAACAAATGGCCTTAGGTACACATCAATGTCGTTGTCGGGTTGCTTAGGGCCTTGGATGAGAACTGGCATCATAATGAACTTCCGCTTCATGCACATCCAAGGAAGAAGGTTATACATACATAGAGTCACGGGCCAGGTGCTGTGATTGCTGCTCTGCTCCCCAAAAGGATTAATGCCATCCGCGCTTAAAGCAAACCATACATTCCTTGGGTCCTTTGCAAACTCATCCCAGTACTTTCTCTCGATTTTTCTCCACTGCGACCCGTCAGCGGGTGCTCTCAACTTCCCATCTTTCTTTCGATTCTCATTGTGCCATCGCATCAACTTGGCATGCTCTTCGTTTCTGAACAGACGTTTCAACCGTGGTATTATAGGAGCATACCACATCACCTTCGCAGGAACCCTCTTCCTGGGGGGCTCGCCGTCAACATCACCAAGGTCATCTCGTCTGATCTTATACCACAATGCACCGTATACCGGGCATGCGTTCAGATCCTTGTATGCACCGCGGTAGAGGATGTAGTCATTAGGGCATGCATGTATCTTCTCCACCTCCAATCCTAGAGGGCATACGACCTTCTTTGTTGGGTATGTACTGTCGGGCAATTCGTTATCCTTTGGAAGCTTCTTCAATATTTTCAGTAGCTTCTCAAATCCTTTGTCAGCCACAGCATTCTCTGCCTTCCACTGCAGCAATTCCAGTACGGTACCGAGCTTTGTGTTGCCATCTTCGCAATTGGGGTACAACCCTTTTTTGTGATCCTCTAACATGCGATCGAACTTCAGCTTCTCCTTTTGACTTTCGCATTGCGTCCTTGCATCGACAATGACCCGGCGGAGATCATCATCATCGGGCACATCGTCTGGTTCCTCTTGATCTTCAGCAGCTTCACCCGTTGCAGCATCATTGGGCACATCGTCTGGTTCCTCTTAATCTTCACCAGCTCCCCCCGTTGCAGCATCACCGTATTCAGGGGGCACATAGTTGTCATCGTACTCTTCTTCTTCGCCGTCTTTCATCATAACCCCTATTTCTCTGTGCCTCGTCCAAACATTATAGTGTGGCATGAAACCCTTGTAAAGCATGTGGAAGTGAAGGATTTTCCGGTTAGAGTAAGACCTCGTATTCCCACATTCAGTGCATGGACAACACATAAAACCATTCTGCGTGTTTGCCTCAGCCGCATCGAGAAACTCATGCACGCCCTTAATGTACTCGCAGGTGTGTCTGTCACCGTACATCCATTGCCGGTTCATCTGCGTGCATTATATATAATTAAGTGTCCAAATTAATAGAAATTCATCATCACATTAAAACCAAAGTGCACACATAGTTCTCATCTAACAACATATAGCTCTCCAGAGCATCTAATTAATTAAACCATACATTGAAACTATGTAAAACATTTCAATGCGAAAACAAATGCGATCATAATCGCAACCAAGGTAACAATTGATCCAACGGCATAATGATACCAAGCCTCGGTATGAATGACATATTTTCTAATCTTTCTAATCTTCAAGCGCATTGCATCCATCTTGATCTTGTGATCATCGACGACATCCGCAACATGCAACTCCAATATCATCTTCTCCTCCTCAATTTTTTTTATTTTTTCCTTCAACAAATTGTTTTCTTCTTCAACTAAATTTAACCTCTCGACAATAGGGTCGGTTGGCATTTCCAATTCACATACATCCTACATGAATAAAATCTATGTCACGTTGGTCAGCATAATTTTCATAAATAATAAATGAACCAATAGTTATAAAGATAATATATGTACCACATCCGAATCATAGACAGGGCGAGGGCCGACGGGGGCGGATACCAAAACTATCGCACTATATAAGATGCAATAATAAAAGTAAGAAAATAATACAAGTATCTATGTAAACATACAAGTAAGAATATTTTTCCTTTCAGATAGAAGATAAGAACAAGAGGCTCACCACGGTGGTGCCGGCGATGAGCTCGGCGCGGGTGATCGACGGCGGTGAAGACGGGGACGGGGCGTGACGGACCGCTAAACCTAGACAAATATTGTGGAAAATGGAGCTTGGAGGTCGAGTTTGGAGAGGAGAAAGCTTAAGTAGTGTGGCTCGGGCATTTCATCGAACACCTTGTGTGCATAGGAGGTGAGCCAGAGCACCACCAAGCCCTCTCCCCCTCGGCCAGAAAAAAACAAAGCAGTGTGCTCTGCTCTCACGCGAGGGGGTATATATAGGCACTTCATTGGTTCCGGTTGGTGGCATGAACCGGGACTAAAGGGGAGCCTTTGGTCCCGGTTCATCCCACCAACCGGGACCAAAAGGTCCAGATGAACCGGGACCAATGGCCCACATGGCCCGGCCGGCCCCCTAGGCTCACGAATCGGGACCAATGCCCCCATTGGTCCCGATTCTAGACTGAACCGGGATTAATGGGCTGACCCGACCTGGACCAAAGCTCTGTTTTCTATTAGTGCATACTCCAGTAGAATTACTCCAGTAGAATAACCAAGGTCCCTGAGCCATCGCCATGTTCCAATCGCCAAGACATACAGGCATGGCCAACTTCGTTTCCACTTTCAATCCACTGTCTTTCCACAACCGTTGTCTTCGCCCATAGCTTATGGTGTCAATTATTTAGATTCTTAGTTGCTTTCGACACAAATTTTGTGTGCTTTATCGTACTCCCTTCGTTTCAAAATAAATGACTCAACTTTGTATTTTAATACAAAGTTGAGTCATTTATTTTGAAACTGAGGAAGTACCTTTTGTTCTCTTTTTCCCTCAAATTATTCGACATTTCGCCAGAGCAGAATTACCAAGGCATGCTGGGTGACCATGGAGAAGAGGATGGACGAGTTCGTGAGTTGGCAGCAGAGAGCTGTTAGTTTTTCTTTTTCAATTTTGAGGTTGTGCGAGCTACTAGTAGTTTTCTTAGAACAGTTCTTTTTTGGATTTTTTGAGGTTTTTTTAGGGTAAGGTTCTTTTTTTGGAGTGGATGCGAGCTAGCAGATTTAAAAAAAAAAAAAAAAACTTTACCCAGCCCAAAAGAACTTCACCAGTAGATCACTTGCTAACTAAACTGGGTCAAGCCCATGCATGCCGTTTGAGAGCTAGAGAGAGAGAGAGAGAGAGCCCAGCCCGAAAGCATGTGCTTAATTTCCGCGAGAGAAAGACCTTCCTCCCCCGCCGCCGTCGCTGCCACAACCGCAAGTCCACTCGCTCCTCCCAGCCGGCGACCATGGCCATAGTAGGAGCTACGCTTCTCCACCGCGGCATCCCGGACGAAATTACCATCTGGGAGATCGTCGTCCGCCTGCCCACCAAAGCCCTCCTCCGTTGCCGCACCGTCTGCCGCGCCTGGCGCCACGCCACCTCCACCCGCGACTTCCTCCTCGCTCACCACGCCCACCAGCCATCCTTCCCCCTCATCTACGGCGAATACGGCAACTCCGTACTCATCATGCCCTTTAACCACCGGGCACGGCCCGTCGCCGCCGACTCCGTCGCGCGACTTTACAGCGTCGAGCCGTCGACGACGCCCTGTTCCAGGCCTCCCGCGACGGCCTCCTCGTCATCTGCGTCCACGGCAAGCACTTCTCCATCCGCAACCCGGCGACTCGTCAGTACGCCAACCTCTCGCTGCTTCATGGCTTCAAGCTCTTGGGGATGTACCAGCACAGCCCTACCGGCGAGTATCGGCTATTGCTCTACCTGTCCGTGGCCGTGAAGTGGATGTACAGTGCACTGCCTGAAGTTCAAGAGGGCTCCTACGTCTTCACGATAGGCTCCGGCCAGCCGCCCAGGCACATAGGGTGCCCCGACGCGGAGGAACTGATATGCATCCCCGGTTCTGTTCTGTTCCATGGTGGCCTGCATTGGTATACAAACCACGTGATAAAGATATTTGACACCACCGCCGAGTCATTCCGGCAGATGCGCTCTCCGTTTGTTCGTGGCCACGCTCGCCTGTTTGAGGTGGACAGTATGCTTGGCATGTCCACTTTTAATGCTGAAGCGACACATGTTTATATCTGGGTGGTGCAAGAGCAAGACTACAAAGATGAGGTCTGGGCATTGAAATATCGGGTTGAATTGCCGGTTTCGGAGATCAGGGTGCAATTTGGAATGTTTGAAATTAAATATTGTCGTGTGAGGGCCGAGTCTTGTGAGCGTGATGTGCTCGTGCTGCTCGAATTTGATGATTGGCTACTTCAAGTCGACATCAATGGCAAGTTGGTTGCCGGATTCCATCGCAGAGGCCTCATTCGTACTCAAGTCCGGCTCAAACAAACTCTAGTTTTGCACACTTTCTTTACGACACTAGAAGATTATGTTGTGAACACTTTGCCTTCCGTTTGACAGCTGTTATGTGAGGTGGTGATTCTAAATTGGCTAACTGTCAGTATCCTCGTGAGTTGTAATGGTATGAATTGGGTCCACTATGAGCCGGTTAGTTTCATTTTGATGCCTACTAGTTTTATGATCAAGAAGCTCCGACTGTTTCATGGTTGCATGAAATTTATACTTGTGCGAATATCCTTTTGGGTTGAAGTGGCTAGCATGTTGGTGCCAAAACTATGAATTCGTTTTGTTAAGCTTTTGAGATGGTTGCCAATTGATCTGCCTCGTCTCTGTTTTCCTCTGAACTGAAGAATTCACTTGGTTTTTTAATCGAGGTTTTCTTCTTTCTTCGAGATCATCCACTGGTTAAAATGTTTAGCCAATATACATTGGTTTCCTGTTTCTAAGTTCTCTTGTAGCTGATGATGAAATTAGGGCAGGTTCTCCTCTTTGATGACTAGCAAGTTGAACCTCATTTTTCGAAGAGTGTGGAGCATTGCTCGTGAAGCTGCATGATCACATCATAGTCGAGTTAGTGAAACGTTCTGTTGCAATTCATTCTTCTCCAAGTATCAATTGCATTGCATCTGGTTAGGTGTTCACATGTTCAGTTATAGTTCCGTCTTCTTTGTCGCTTTGTTTGGGATCATCTGTACTCAGGTTCCAGATTGTTTTCCCCTTCAGATACTGTTACTATCAGCCATATCTAGTACCGCTGGTAGAAAGCAGGCTGTCTCAAAGATTTGTGTGGCAATAGCCGAAATACATACAGCTGTAAATGGGGGTAGTCTGAAAAGTCATTCTGATCATTTGTTACAGCACAGATTATGTGCCATTGCAGGGTAATTGCTCACCCGCTCACATCACTTGCAGGCTACCCACAATCAGTTTTCTGTTACCTGCCTTCAGGCATCTGCGTGAATATGTGACACTATTATTTGGAGTGTGGTTGCAGTATAGCAAAGTGTGGCAAAAATGATGGACAGCACATGAAAACAAGATTTGATATAGCAGTATATATGCCACATGCTGGAGGCCTGTCATTTACATATTTCCTCTAGCTAGTTGTTGCTTTTATGTGCAATGTTCTGGCAATATATATACTTGCAATTTTCTGAAATTTTGTCATCAATTCAGTTCATATGCAACGTTATGGCAAGAGAATGCATGCTGATGGCAAGATTTCTGAAATTTTGCCGGCTACATATATGCAATGCATTCTTCTTGATTCGGTAACCTTGCTTGTTGCTGTCTGAGATGTGCACCAGTTGATCAACTAGACAAAGGAAGAGCCCACCTGAAAAGCATAATTAAGGCATATGCAGTTTCTGACGCCTGAAAGCAACATTTGTTCGGAGAACATGTCTGTTCTGTTCCTCTTCTTGAAAAGTATGGCCAACTTCCCTCTCAACCTACTGTGATGTACGTCTTTCCCTGCATCACCGTCTTCAGCCATAGCGTTCCAGGCCACTTATCCAGATTCTTGATTGCTTTCGACACAAGTTTTGTCGGCTTTAACGGGTAAAATCAAATCGATTCGCTGTCCTATGAACCTGTTGTTCTTTATTTCCATCGAATTATTCGACAAAGCAGAATTATTAAAGCATCCCAGTCATGGGACAAACAGCTGTCATCTATGCCATTTGACCATGACAACTGACCTCTTTTCTGAAGGGAGAGATGTTCTAGTAATGTATGGTTTTGTTTTTTTTACTTCAGCAAGTCTAATTTTACTGTTCCTTTTCTTCATAATATCTCCCCATGTCTTGCGCAACAACTGAAGGAGATTTTTTCTCCTCATCAAACTGAAGCTCCGCTGTTCGATATATACTCCGATCGGTTGGAGCATGTGGAGCCAAGCATAATGAGGACCCGTGATGTGCATTTTTTATTCGATAACCTTGCTTGTTGCTATCTGAGATGCGCGCCAGTTGATCACGGGAAGAGCATCACTAAGACATGTTCAGTTTCGTCTGTTCTGTTGCTTGGATTCTGCAGACTGTTCTTTACAGGTATAGCCAACAGAGTGGTGCTTCGGTACACTGCACTTTCAGTTCACTTTACTGTACGTCTTTACCTGCATCACTGTCTTCGCCCACAGCCTATCACGCCACTTATCTGGATTCTTAATTTCTTTCGGCACAAGTTTTGTTTGCTTCATCGAATAAAATCAAATCAGTTCTCTGCTATATGGACCCTTTTGTTCTTTGTTTCCTTTCAATTATTCTACAAAGCAGAATTATTAAAGCATCCTCGTCATCGAACAAAGTTCATCTATGCCATTTCACCATGCCAACTGACCAGTCATAAACAAGGATAACTTCCAGACTGTACATCGGTTGGTGTACACAGCCGGAGAAAAGGAAGTTCCATGTAGTACTCCGTCCATTTCAAAATACTTGTTGTGGTTTTAGTTTAAATTAAAATTTAAACTGAAACAATGACAAGTATTTTGGAACAAAGGGAGTACCAGTTCTTGAATGAATTACTACCTCTGTCCCATAATATAAGAGCGTTTCTGACACTATAGTGTTGATGTTTTTGTTCTTATTAGCCTGGTCTCATGTAAAAAATTCAGGCAACTCTAATACTACTGTTTATTGTCGTATCTCCCCATCTGTCTCTCTCTCACAACAACTGAATTTTATTCCTCCAATGCTAACCTATGGGTCTAACTCACAAGCAGTAACATCAAACAACGTTGTCCATCTGCAGAGCTTGAGAGGGGCTCGCCCTCTTTACCTAAAGAAATTATGGATTCAGAAAAGCATCGCTGTTAAAAGCAGACACTGATTTCTCTAATCGCCAGTGGCACATTATTTACACTATGGTTGAGATCGATATGCTGAATTGACGTGCCATTAGCATGTTACTTACGATGGCATATCATTTTCTTCGTTCCCTTGCAGAGATGTATGTGGCTTCATGGGTCATGTTCATCCCCACTACCTCTAGCTAGGCCGGCATGGTCGGAGATGCTGGTTCCTAATGCTCGGTCCCGTTATTGGGATCATTTGGTTGGAGCTGGGCATCAGGACATATTCTGTGGTGGAGTGGTTTCATTTGGTAGGCGATCGTGAGTAGTAATCTGGTTCTGTGGTGGAGTGGTTTCCTGAAGCTTTGCTTCGGTGATGTAAAACCTCTTTGTCCTCTGTTATCTACTCCGCTCTACATACAGAGTCTGAATGTTTTGGTCAAGGAGAGTGACGCTGTACAAATGACCTGGTTTTTTTTATCTTGAGTTGGTTTTGATGTTGACTTGGAGAGGAACTGTAATGTGGGAAATTACTACTACACGTTCATTACTGTTTGTGGACTATATGAATGTCCATTTTCTTGCTAGCTTAGCTAGGATGTTGGCGTGCGTGGAAGGAAATCTCAGGTAATTTAATACTAATTTTTACTACTACCATTTTGGACTTGCCTGTAGCCTTATGCATACTTGATGTTCTTCCCCAGCGCCACCTATAATGGTATGCTGGTTTCGAGGCTTGATTCCACTGTTGTTAATGTTATCATTCGTAGCTGAGAATGAAAATTATATGGACCCTTTTGTTCGAGCGTCTTGTTGTCTGAGATGTGCACTAGGCGATCACCTAGACGAATGAAAATTCGGATGCCGAAAGTTCACTACAATTCCTTTCATAATTTATTCTGCTAGTTGCTCTAATATACCATAGTAACTCTATCTCAACAACCCCTAAAAATAAAACTCTATCTCAAGAAAAGAAGAAAATGATACTACAGTAACTCTAATTCAGAAGAAGAAAAAGACTAACTTGGCAGCACTTTGGTTTGGACTTTGGATGCTAGAACGGTGCGTCTGTTTTCTGGAACCGGATCCTCTAACATCAAGAAGGAATGTCACGATGCTACAGTGTTAACCTAGTGTAAAATGAAGAAGGAAAGTTAGGGACTATTAGTAGATAGTTAATAGGTTGTTTAGTGTTGGTATTTACTGTAGATATAAATAATTTAATTTTAATTTTATTTCACCATCAATTGTTTGCATGTAATTACTATAAATGTACACGGTAGATCATCAGTTTGCAAATTAATTTAAATCATTTTAGCCATAATTATAGGAATAGAAAGAAGGAAAGTTAGAGTATTGTAGCTTCTCTAACATTCCTTTTTAATGTTAGAGGATCCAGTTCCCTGTTTTCTTGCTTGGACTGTTGTGCAGATGGCTCCCTCTCTCCCTTCGCTTATAATATCCAGGGTTCAGGTTTTACTTGATTTCTCAAATTAAACCACTTCACTAATATCTCAAATTAACCTAATCAAACTCAACTTATTATATCGTATGCTATTTCAAGAACATCAATACTGATGTACTAGAATGACCAAATAGGCATTCGACTTTTGGGTTTGGCATGGGTTCATCGATCCTACCTCAGCCCTCAGTGTCCAGATGATGCCTACATGCACGTCACTTGATCTTCATCCCCAGTTGGAACTTGGGAGATCCTAGTTAGGTCCTATTACACGATTCCATTGTTCCATACTTCGAGCGGTCGAAGCATATGGAGCCGATCGAGCACAATGAGGACATATGTGCATCCCTGATTACACAACCCCGCTTGTTGCTGTCTGAGATGCGAACCACTTGATCACAGAAGAGCATAATTATGACGTATGCAGTTTCGAACGAGTGAAAGCAACATCGGTTTCTAGAACATGTTTGTAAGTCTTTTTTTAGAAGTAAGGACATCTCCGACGCGGACCCTCAAACCTCCCGCATCCGTTTGGAACACACGGTTTGGAGCCCGCAAGCCATCCAACGGTGTTCTACATCCATCCAAGGACCAGTCTGGATTTCCATTTTCCCGCAAAACAAAACTAAACCAAGAGTTTTTTTTTGCAAGAGTCCGCACATTTGGAGCTGGCCGCACTATTTCAACGGCAAAATCACTCTTTCTCAAACCTCTGCTCTTCCATCCCACCGCTCTCCACCTCAATTTCTGCCCTTTTCCACCACCGTCGTCGCATGGAGGACCCTTACGAAAAGTTGCCGGAGTTGATGGTGGAGGACGGGGGCGGTCGTGGCGGGGGACGAGTAGGGGGGCGCCGTGGTGCCAGCGGCGGTTGTGTTACAAGGTGGGGCCAGGGATGCGGGGTGCCTTTGCCGTCGCCTTCCGTGCAAACGGCGCCCTGGCCAGAGCAATACAAGGCTCCCAACCGTGCGATATGTGATCGGGTGGGCGCATTTGAATTGCCGGCCCTTGCCGGCGGGAGAGCTCTATTTTCAGATGTTCCTTCGAGCTTTGTTAGGGTTTGTATTCTGCTCAGGAAGACAAGATGGCGGCGGCTTTTTGGAGATGGAATAAGGTTCTCCCCGCGCTAGCCCCCGTCGCGGTGGTGTGTCTAGCATCGCCGGTGGCGTGTGAAGGTGTGTCTCCGGCGGATCTGTCCTTGGTGAATTTGCTCGGATCTAGTTGTAGTTCGTCTACATTCGTGTGTCTTCAGGTTGGATCCTTTCGATCTATGCTCCACTTCATTGGCGACATTTGCTGTTCTGCTGCGTTGGTTCTATAGGGGTTTAGCACGACGTCTTCCCGACTGTCTACTACAACAAGTTTTGCTCTGCTTCGGCGAGGGAGGGGCGATGACAGCGGCACGCCTTCGGCTCGCTTTCAGTGGTTGTAGTCGTCGCTAGGTGGTCTATGGATCTAGATGTAATTTTATTATTTCTGGTGTTCATTGTACTTCAATGATTGAAGATGAATAAATTTAAAGTTTTATTGCAATTTTTTTTTTTGCAAATTGACAGAATCTGGGCCTGCATCGCTGTTTTTGCGCATAGGTGTTTTTTTAGTTGATGCGTGCCAGCATGTTTTTTTTTTTGAGTGACTGGATCAAGCCCATCCCGTTTGATAGCTGAGCGAGAATGAGAGGTGGGCTAAGCCCAGCCCAAAAGCATCAGCGTCATTTCCACAAAAGGAAGACCTCCCTCCCTCTCCGCCGCCGCCGTCACCACCACAATCCACGGCGACCATGGCGAATGCCGCAATGGCAGGAGCTCCGCCTCTCCACTGCGGCATCCCGGAAGAAATCGCCATCTGGGAGATCCTCGTCCGCCTGCCCCCGAAGGCCCTCCTCCGCTGCCGCGCCGTCTGCCGCGCCTGGCGCCGCGCCACCTCCACCCGCGACTTCCTCCTTGCCCACCACGCCCACCAGCCCTCCCTCCCCCTCGTCTACGACGACTCCCTCTACACCATGACCTACCGGGCAGGGCTCGTCCCCGCCGACCAGTCCCAGTTCGTCGCGCGACTTGGCAGCGTCGACCTCCCCTGGCTCGCCTCCTGCGACGGCCTCCTCGTCATCTTCGTCCGCGGCGAGCACTTCTTCGTCCGCAACCCGGCGACTCGTCAGTCCGCCAACCTCCCGCTGCTTCATGGCTTCAGGCCTTTGGGGATGTATCGACACAGCCCTACCGGCGAGTACCGACTATTGCTCTACCGGTCCCGGAGATGGATGTACGGTCCACTTCCACCTGACGTTCAAGAGGGCTCCTACGTCTTCGCAATAGGCTCCGGCCAGCCGCCGAGGCACATAGGGTGGCATGATGCGGAGAAGCTGATATGCACTGCCGGACCTGTCATGTTTGGTGGTAGGCTGCATTGGTACACATGCCACGTGATAATGATATTTGACAACACCACTGAGTCGTTTCGGCAGATGCGCTCTCCGTTTGTTCCTGGCCACGCTCAACTGTTTGAGATGGATAACATGCTTGGCATGTCCGTTCTTAATGATGAAGGGAAAAGCGTTGATATCTGGGTGGTGCAAGATTATGAAGGTGGAGATTGGGCCTTAAAATATCGGGTTGAATTGCCGGCTGTAGAGATCAGGGTGCAATTTGGAATGTCTGAAATTAAATATTGGCATGTGAGGGTTGTGTCTTGTGATGGTGATGTGCTTGTGCTGCTCAAATTTGACGATTGGCTACTTCAAGTTGACATCAATGGCGAGTTGGTTGCCGGATTCCATCACAGAGACCTCATTCTTACTCAAGTTCGGCTCAAACAATCACTAGTTTTGCATACTTTCTTTCCGACACTAGAGGGTTAATTATGTTGGTCCAACAACTCATGAGGAGCTGTAATGGTATAAATTGGTTCCACTATGAGACGGTTAGTTTCACTTTGATGTATACAAGTTCTATGATCAAGAAGCTCTGACTCTTTCATGGTTGCATGAAATTTATACTTGTGTGAATATTTTTTGGGGCTGAAGTGTCTACCATATCGATGCTAAAATAATGAGGCTGTTTTGGTCAGCTTTGAACTGAAGAATTGATTTTGTTTTTTAATCGAGGTTTCTTCTTTCTTCAAGATCATCCAGTGGTTGAAATGGTTAGCCAACATACATTTGTTTTGTATCTAAGTTCTCTTTTAGCTGATGATGAAATTAGGGCAGGTTCTCGTATTAGTTTTTGGAAGAACTTGGAGCATTGCTCGGTAAATTGCATTGTAGCATTATAGTCAACTTCTCAGTAAAACGTTTTGTTGTGATTCGTTCTTCTTCATGTATCCATTGCATCTGTTTACGTGTTGACATGTTCATTTATACTTTTAAAAAAAATATTGTGCCATAGTTCTGTCTTCTCTGTTGCATTGTTTGGGATCATCTCTACTCAGGTTCCAGATTTTTCCCCTTCAGACAGCCACATCTGAAACCACCGGTCGGAATCAGGTTTTCTCAAAGATTTGTGTGGTAATACATACAATTGTAAAAGTAGGCTGAAAAGTCATTCTGATAATTTGTTACTGCACGTATTATGTGCCATTGTAGGGTAATTGCTCAGCTGCTAACATCACTTGTAGGCTATACACCCACTTTTCCGTTGTGTGCATGTGCCTTCAGGCATCTGCGTGTAATTGTGTGTGATAAGTATTCAAAATATTTGGAGTGTGTGGCCACAGTTTACGCTGTCTGGTTAGTTTAACATCTCCAGTGTGCGATATGATTATATTAAACCGGCGAAAGGCCTTCATCTTAGATTGCAACAGATATGGGGAGACATTATGGAGAAAATGAGGCCAACTCATAGGGCCAATCACGCCCACTCTACTAGCCTGAGGAATTGCAGTACGTCCAGGATTTCTGCGTGAGGAATTGCAGTATAGCAAAGCGTGGTAAAAATGAAAGATGGCACATGAAAACAAGATCCAATATAAACGTATATTATTATGCCAAATGATGGAGGCTTGTCATTTATATATTTCCTCTAACTAGTTGCTTTTATATGGAAAAAAAAGTTCTGGCAATATATGTACATGCAATTTTCTGAAATTTTGCCGTCTCCGCCTCTTCAGTTTATATCAACATTTTGGCAAGAGGATGTATGGTCATGGCAAGATCTCTTTGCTGGCTATTTATATGCAATGCATTATTGAATTGATAACCTTGCTTGTTGCTGTCTGAGATGTTCACCAGTTGATCGATCACCAGACGAAGGAAGAGCCCACCTGAAAAGCATAATTAAGGCCTGTGCAGTTTCGACGCCTGAAAGCAACATGGGTTTGGAGAATATGTCTGTTCTGTTGCTTGGATTTTGCAGATTGTTCTTTACAAGTATGGCCAACTTCCCCCTCAACCTACTGTGCTGCACGTCTTTCCCTGCATCGCCGTCTTCGCCCATAGCGTTCCGCGCCACTTATCCAGGTTCTCAATTGCTTTCGCCACTAGTTTTGTTAACTCTAATGAATAAAATCAAATCAGTTCGTTGTCCCATGAGCCTGTTGTTCTTTGTTTCCTTAGAATTATTTGACAAAGCAGAATTATTAAAGCATCCCCGCATCGAACGAACAGTCATCTATGCCATTTGACCATGGCAACTGAGCAGTCTGTTTTTCCTGAAGGAAGAGATGCTGTTCTGGTGATGTATAGCAGTATATGGTTCTGTTTTTCACTTCAGAGAGCTAATTTTACTGTTCCTTTTATTCATAAAGTCTCCCCATATCTCTCGCAAAAACTGAAGGAGATTGTCTTCTCTTCATCAAACTGAAGCTCCGATCAGTCGATATATACTCCGATCGATCGGAGCATGTGGAGCCGAGCATATTGCGGACGTGTGATGTGCGTTTTTGATTCGATAACCCATCTGCTTGTTGCTATCTGAGACGCGCACCAGTTGATCGCAGGAAGAGCGTCGTTAAGACATATGCAGTTTCGAATGCCTGAAAGCAACGTTTAGCTTGGAGAACATGTCTGTAAGTCTGTTTTGTTGCTTGGATTCTGCAGACTGTTCTTTACAGGTATAGCCAACAGAGTGGTGCTTCGGTACACTGAACTTTCAGTTCACTGTGCTGTACGTCTTTCCCTGCATCACTCCCTTCGCGCATAGCCTATCGCGCCACTTATCCAGATTCTTAATTGCTTACGACACAAGTTTGTTTGCTTTACCGAATAAAATCAAATCAGTTCGCTGTTCTATGGACCCTTTTGTTCTTTATTTCATTCGAATTATTCGACAAAGCAGAATTATTAAAGCATCCTCGTCATCGAACAAGAGTTCATCTATGCCATTTCACCATGACAAGGATAGCTTCCAGCCTCTACATCGGTTGATACACATAGCCGGAGAGAAAGAAGTTCTATGTAGTACCAGTTCTTGATTGAACTACTACTATTCTTGGGATGAGTGTTCCTGTTTTTGCTCTTCTTAGCCTGGTCTCATGCATGAGTAAAAATTTCAGGCAACTCTGATACTACTGTTCCTTTTCTTCATACATCTCCCCGTCTCTCTGTCACACAACAACTGAATTTTATTTCTCCAATGCTAATCTATGGGTCTAACTCACAAGCAGTAACATCAAACATAGTTGTCCATCTGCCGAGCTTGACAGGGGCTCACCCTCTCTCTGTACCTAAAGAAATTATGGGTTCAGAAAAGCGTCGCTGTTAAAAGTAGACACTGATTTCTCCAATCGCCAGTGGCACATTATTTTACACTATGGTTGAGATTGATATGTTCAATCGACGTGCCATTAGCCTGTTACTTATGACGATGTGTATCATTTTCTTCTTTCCCTTTCAGAGATGTCTTGTACTTCATAGGTCATGTTCATCCCAACTACCACTAGTTAGCTAGGCCGGCATGATCGAGATGCTGGTTCCTAATGCTCGGTCCCATTGTCCGGATCATTTGGTTGGAGCTGGGCATCAGGACATATTCTTCGACGGACGACGCCCACCTTGTTATCTGAGATGCACACTAGGTGATCACCACAACGTGCACGATGTGCTGCAGCATGGTGGCCCTGTGGTTCCAAGTATAATTCTTCAAATTGAAACGAGGGTTCAGAAGATGGACTAGTTCAGTTTGGATGCCGGAAAGCAACGTTTGATTTGGGGAACATGTCTCTTTTTTTCCTCGCTTGGGTTCTGCGGATCGTCATCGACGAGTAGATCGCCACTACCTTTTCCCCCTTTCAGTCCTGTCTTGTGTTTCAGTTCCAGCCCAGCTCGATCCTTGCTTTCAGAGTTTCAGTTTCAGGGCAACTCTTGTTTGCTTTTCTCAAACTAAATCAAATCAAATCAAATCAAATCAGGTGCCATGGGAATCTCTCTTTCTTTCTTTCTTCTTTCGTTGGAATTATTCAACATCAGTCTGAACTTCGGCAGTGTATGCCTCTGAACTTTATCGGTGTATATGCCTTGTTTGCACTAGTAATATACTGCCATATGTAAAGATGTTTTGGTAGGCCGGTGAAACAGAGGTAATAATATACTGCTCTATGTCTCTGTAAAGTTGTTCTTCTGTTAGAGTATGCTCAGAAGTCAGAACTTAAACCTGACTGTTTACTGCGCACGCAGGTGAAAGATGAAAATTGTGGTCAACCGTTAATTTCAACAGCAATCAAAATCACCAATTGGTCAAAGGCCAGTATGAACAAATCAACAGAGCGACCAGATAAAATTTTGCAAATTGCGGTGAAGATAAATTACGTCCAGTACAAGCCAACTTCCTTTATTATTATTATCACACCATGACAGCAACCACGAAGACATACAAGCAGCAGCAGTGAAGACGCAGCCACCGTGACGGCGCCGCGTCGCCATCACCGGCCGGTTCGATCGGCTATTTAGCTATACTACGTACGTTCACCAGACACGCAAACAAGAAACAACAGGCCAGGGAAAGCAGAGGATGAAGAAGAATTGAAGCAACGTCAGCCCATGCGTACGCCCAAGTGGTTGTGGGCGTCGTCCAGCTTGGCTTTGGCTTGGCTCAGGCGGCTAGAGGGCGAGGACGAGGCCGGGGAGGGAGTTGCGGGCGCGGTCGGGGCGGCGGCTCTGCCAGACGCACTTGGACGCGGCGGCGGCGGCGAGGCGCGTGACGGTGAGGTCGGTGTTGAAGTACTCGCGCAGCTGGGTGATCACCCCATCGGAGCCCACGGTCCAGGCGTGCACCCAGTAGGCCGCCTTGGTGTCCTCGCCGGCGGCCGAGACGCCCTCGGCGATGACGGTGGAGCCGAAGGCGTCGACGGAGCGCGGCTGGAAGCGGAAGGAGGAGGAGCTGGAGCCGGTGAGGAGGCGCATCATGTGCTGGTGCGCGGGCGGGCCATGGAACCACCACTCGAGGTCGGGGGCGAGGAGGGAGTGCACGGCGGCGTGGTCGCGGCCGTTGAGCGCCTCGTAGAGGCGGAGCACCAGGAACTTGTTGCGCTGCTCCTCGGTCTCGTGCCCGCGCGCGGAGGCGAACCCGCCCTCCAGCTGATCCAGGTTAGCCAGCTCCTCCCGAGGTTTCCGGCCGCTCCTCCTGTCGGAGACGAAGAAGAAGGCGGCGACGGCGACGGCGGCTCGACCTCAACTACTACTTGGTGCTCGAGATCGTCTCGGCGAGAAGCAGCGAGATACGGTAGGCTCCGAGAGATTGGAGTGTTCGGGCGGCGTGGGGCGCGTTTTATAGCGGGTGCGCGCGATGATGGAGCGATGGGCCCGTGCGTGCGCGCCAGGGTGGACGGCAACTAAATCGGGTTAGGCCCCACTGCTGAGTCGGATGATGGGTGCTGGTGCGTGGGACCCACCGACAGGGAACCAATCAGAGTGAAAATTGACGGATTTGCCCCTTTTTTAAAATCTTTAACACAAAATGAACAGGTTTCAAAAGGTATTCAAAAAATGGCCCACATCGACATGGGCTTGGGGTGTCATGCTAAATAGCAAGGTGCCTCAGGCTGGGTCGTCGTGCTATCTAGCACGGCAACTCGGCCTCGCGCGTCATGCAAATGGACCATTTTGTGAAATTCTTCGGAATCGGGTTTATTTTGTGAAATTCCTCGTGTCCAACCCTCGAGGAAAACATCTTAGCCACACTTGAGCTCCCCGGCCACGAAGCAGATGAATGCCACACACGAGAAGAGGAGCGCCGTAGGCGCTTCGCTACCCCCGCCGATGAGATGGACGACTAGCAACAACTGGAGCTCGTCACTTGCTGACGAGATGTCCATTGAGAATGCCAAGTGCGAGGTCGAGATCCAGTGCCAATGGGCCGTTGGCGAGCCGCTCAACTCCGGCTTTGACAACAAACTGGATGAGGCACACCTATCGTCCTCCTCCTCCTTTAACAATTAGACAGTGTCAGGGGGCCCTTATATATCTGATCTAACAATGTCGAATAACAACGTTGCATGTCTATCTAGTCTAAGAATGCATATATTGTCTAGTCTCAAGTCATAAGTAAAATGCGGCCCCAAACTATAAGAACTTGGTATTTCAAATGTTGTATGGGTTGCTGATTCACCTTTAATCGTGGTTTGAATACGAAAATTAGAACTAAAAATTTCAAACAAAGGCCAAATAAAAAAAGAAAGGAGGAAATCTATATCTATACTCTATTACCTACTAATAAAAGAAATATGTATTGTTAGTCCGTCATGCTATTTTATAGAAATCCCCCCTGATATTTCTGACATTAAACCCGCAGTACATGTCAAATGTTTTTTAAAATACTCATATTTTCTAAACCGTAACTCTAAATTTAACATATTATATATGGAATTTAATTAGAAAAATATATAGAATCTGAATATGATGTTATTTTACCTGTTAACCATTTTTAAAGAAAATACTATCTAGGGTGCAATCTTAATCAACAGTGCATTATCCGTCTTTCTTTCATATCGGCATTGATTCGGATTGTGGATGAACATCTCAGCTAAATCTGGATTGGAAACGAATTTGAAGATCACTTGTACGTTTCTTTGTACGTATTAAATCTACATGCAAGCCGTGTTTAAAAAGAAGACATGTGAAATCTTGAACTTGTGCTTTTGTAGGCAAAGACCATCTTTGTTTGGGCCGTCACTACAAATACTCAGATTATAGACCATTTCTTGTAAATTAAAAGTGTGCGGTATTCTTTTCTCCCGTTGCAACGCACGGGCCCTAATGCTAGTGTAACTTATGGAGACTGCGTATTTTTTCTTTTTTGAAGAGTGGTCAAGTTTGTGCGTCGCCTCGGCAGCCTTCAAAATATTATGAAGCACGCTACATACACATTTTGATGATTCTTAGATTGGTTACTTTTTTTTGTGGAAATTTAGATTGGTTACTGATCGAGTAGCGGTGAAAAGAAGAGCTGAATATGAGCGCAGTGTTATCTCGTCCTTTTCCTGCACGCTGGCAGCGACGGGCCATGAGTAGATACACGATCGAGCCGGCCGGCCACTGCATGCCAGGGCGCATGTGGCGTGTGCGTTCTGGGGGAGGTTCCATTTGAGCGGACGACTGGTCGACCGATTCCCTGACGTGGCTTTCCAACGAGATCCGCCTGACTCAGCTGCAGGACCGCAGCGACCACCGACCCATGCATGATTGGCTTGGGCGTTGGGTTGGAGCGGCCGCCGGTTCGTCCGTTTGCTCGCTGCTCGACCGGTCCAACGCTCCTCCGATCCTAGAGGCTACGGTCCTGCAACGTGTGCGGCCACACACACGTTCGGTGCACAGTGCCACTCAAAAAAAAAAGTTCGGTGCATACTGGCCGGCCACTTGTCCGCCACGCACGCACGCACGCAGGTCATGCCATGCCATGGCAGCACGTACCTTCAGTAGCGGAGTTCTACGCATAGGCATAGGCGCGCCCGCTGGTTCAACGGAGAGCTTTGGAACCTAGCGCTGCTGGGGGAGAGCCACCCGGGGCCGGTACTAGTCTAGTCTGGTGCACTACTACCACACTGGATGGAGATGGATGGACATGGAAAAGGGCTAGTCGACGGTGACGTTGTGCAGCACAAACTAACCACCCATCCCGATCGACCTCCAATCCAAATGTGCAAATCGCCGCCGCATGCCATGCCATGCCATGCCAACTCTTTTCTCTTATTTAATGAATGAGGCAAATCTTTTGCCTTCGTTTCGAAAAAAAACAGTGTGATGCACGCATATGCATGCAGCAGGCCAAGCAAGCCAGCGCGCCGACGTACGACGAGATCCATCGCGAGACGAAACAGCTAGCTAGCGCAGGTGCAATCAATCGTTCCCGTTCCTTCCACGCGGGCCGGCCGGAGGCGATCGACCAGCCGTCCTTTCGCCCGTTCCAGCCAGCGTGAAGTGCAGCTCCCCTCCGACGGATCGGTCGACTGGGACGGACGGCCGAGGGCACGAAGCTTCCCGGAAGCTTCGCCGCCAGCTCGCTCGCTCGCTCCCTGGCTTTTATCTGCACCCATCACCGCCGCAACAGATCCCGTCGTGCTACGTTATTTACTTTCATTATTATTGTAGAGTGTAGACACACGAGTACAGTATCAGTTTCTCGTAACAGCGATGTGCTGACGATGAATATCCGAGCTGGCCTGCTACCTGCCATCGATTATCAAGGCGCACACACCACTGATCGACTCAACGAGAAGTAACGTACTCCCTCCGGTCCTTTTTAGTTCGCATCTCGTAAAGTTTGACCAACTTCATAGAAAAAAATTTCAACATTCACAAATGTGAAATCAATACCAATTTATGCATCGGGACTTAAAGTTTCATATTGTATAACTTTAGCATGATAGATGTTAATTTTTTCATATAAATATGGTCAAACTTCTCAAAGTTTGACTTCAGACAATTCTTATATGCAGAGTAAAAAGGATCGGATGGAGTATCTACATATATAAATATGTGTATATATATGATGTAGTATGTCTGCACTGCACGCACACAAGCATCATACTGACCCAAGATCCGATGGAAGATGCAGCGGCAGCATCGGAGATCCTTTCATCTACGTACGTGTCGCTGTCGACATGTAGTCAGTATGATCCCCGGTTAAGTGATCGATCTACTTGCGATTGAGCCAGTGATTGGTTGCTGATAACGCACCTTTTGTCAATCCATCTATATAGTACTATGTTTTAGTTTTTTCTGCGTGATTGACATTGCATGCATGATATATTGATATGTACGATGATTATTATAGCTAGCTACCAGGCCGCCGTGCTAGTGAATCATTACGTTTCCGCCACCAGTTCTCTAGTTATGATGTGGAAAAAGCAGCGCGTGCCCTTCTTGATCAGTGTTTGATACGTCTACGAATTGATCGATCCGTCATTATCATCATATACATGATCCATCTACCTGCCGGACGCGGCTCGTCTGACGTACGGCCCACACACTGACGTGTGGGCCCGGACCCACCCGTCAGCGGCCCAACGGTAGGGGGCCGTACGTCAGGGGATCCGGCTCCCTACCTGCCTACCCATTCCAGTTATCACCAACACTAGTTACCCAAAACACGTCCCCTTCCCCATCATCAAACATATCGTTTGCGGTTCTCAATCAACCGGTCGACTTCTCTGTGAAAAGTTGAAATAAAACTAGGCCAATGGACGCCGGCGGTGGCGGCGCTATTTGCGGTGTTCCTTTCTTAAAAGCATCGCCGAGGAGAAGTTCAAGGCCACCATCTGCTACCTTCGAGGAAACCCTAGATCTCTAGATTATATGACGGCGGTGCTCTTGTGTAGTTTTTCTCTTGGGGGCGTCATTCTTAAAGGTGTACACGGGTTTGAGAGACCAGTGGACGGATTCTTTGGTGGAGCGGTGCGTCATCTCACTCATTGATGGCGGCGGATCTCGGCGGCATGGTGCTGTGGTGACTCGGCGTCCGATGCGCGGAGATGGACTCGCGCAGGAGGGTGTCGCGGTCTGACGTTGTGGTGGCGTCGACGACAGCTAGACCGTGCAAGATAGATGCAACAGTATAGTTCTGAAGATGGATTGGTGACATGTGGCTGCGGCGGCCTCATACCTGGCATGCGTCCTGGTTGAGGAATGCACCGGACCGGTGGGTGCCCCATACCCGGCAGGTGTCTTGGATGGGACCTCAGGTCTTAGATGTTAGGTTTAGCTGCGAGGTCTGTTTGGTATTAGGCCCAGACTATTAGCATCCCTTCATCAATTGGATAGGAATAACGACAGATGTTGCCTAGACAGTGGCATTAGTCTTGCTGTTGTATTACTTTGTAATGTCTTGTGTGAACAATTAATAAAGTGGCTGCATGCATCATTCAGATGTAGAGGCCGAGGGTCTTCCTCCTTTTTGAAAAGAAAACTAGGCCAATGATGCAAACGATCTAATAAGTACACATTCGCCGTGTCATCTCTACTCTCTACTGCATATGGAAGCATAAACCGTTTTGCAAACATCTTTAGCTTGATGTTGAGCCTTGGATACACTTATCATGTAACCAACCAACATCAGGTCACAGCTTCATCACCATATCACACCATTTATATATGTGTACCAGGTTTCATCAATGCTAGCTTAGGGCATCTCCAAAGCAGCTCCATCACAATATTCTTGCTTTGCATTACCGTTTTGGCGGAAGGTTTTGAAACCTCTGGAGGAAGCCACTTTATTTCATTCCGTTCAAGTACTAATCCTTGCATTAGTAGTGCTTCCGCCAACACTCACTTATACTCCCTTCGTTCCAAAATAGATGACCCAACTTTAATATAAAGTTGGGTCATCTATTTTGAAACGAAGGGAGTATTACTGTGCTAGTACGTGACATTTTTCCTGCATGCACATCCCTTTCCGCCAACACTTGAAAGCTTCCGCCAAAACGTGTGTTTCATTTCTTCTTCTTCAAGAACTTGGTAAAAAAAGTTACTAATAATCCATACACTATCATAGTGAGTCAGAGTCATGAATATTTTGGCGGAAGCCTTTTTTCAGAAACTACTAATCTATGGATTACCACAGATATTTGGGGGATAAAAAAACAAAGGGAACACTTGGGGACAGGGTTGGATGGCCGGCTCCCGCATCATTGCCCACGAACGGTGTCCGGTTTGAGGGTCGGCATTGAAGACGCCCTTAGCTTGCTTGGGTCACACCATGAAAATCATGTTTAGTGAATTTCGGAAATTTTATTAATTTCAGTATGCAATGTTATTTTTGTGTTTCGATCGAATTATTTCAAGAATTTTGGTCCTAAAAGACATTCCCACCAGTGCCATC